AGGATGAAATCATTATACAGTTTCCCTGTGTCCAGGATCCAGTGCTCTCATGCCTTCTGCCATCACCATAAGCTCCTCTGCTGTCCACCTTCACAGCAGCCATTCTCTTCGCCCTGCTTGGCTGGATCCACTAGCCAATCAGGTCTCACTTCAGATGCTTTCCTTAACTTCGTTCCATTCCATCACTCCCAGAACACTTTGTATAGCACAGTGCCCAATCTAAATGTCTTTTTTTATTTTTCATAATCTTTTTCTCCACCTCAACACTTATTCATACCCTCATAGAGGAGTACATGAAAATATTTATGTTCTTCATGGACTGTTGCATCTCCAGGCCCTTAAATACTGTCCATAATAAAAGACATGTAATCATATTTACCAAATTAGTAAATGGCTTAACGTGTGAGCAAATTGAAAATAGTGCTGGAGGGTTTTTCGAATGAAAAAAAATGAGACATGTTCTCGTGCAGCTCAGGCTGGTCTCAAACTCACTGACTAGCAGAGAGTGAACTTGAATTTCTAATTTTCATTCTTCCACACCCCTCATGCTGGGATCACAGGCACGTGTCACCATGCCCAGGTCATGTGGTGCTGGGATCACACCCAGGGATCCCTATGTGCTAGATATGTACCTTACCTGTTGAATTATAATCCTATATACTTCCTCCAGAGTTAAGGGCTTTTGTTATTTTTAAAATTAGTCTGTTTTGCATTTGCCTCGGTTATCTCCTGCTGTGTGATTCATCAAGGATGAGAGGCAGTTTGCACAGCCTGTTATACCACTTTATAAACATACACACACGCACACGCACATATGCACGCACACATGCACACAGGAATGTAGCAGCTGAAGCAGGGCACGGATGCCTTTAAGTATAAACAGTCAGGTCTTGCTTAGGTTCTGAGCAGAAGGTGCCTGACAAACACTCTTCACCCACGTTTGTGTTGACTGGTTGTCCTTTCTGCGGAACGAGTCAAGGATGTGCTTCCACTGTGTTGCTTTTCCCCAGGACACAGCCCCTACCACCCTGCACGGTTTACACCTAAGTAGGAAAACAGTGGGAACGCCACCTCACCATCTCATTTCATCCAATTTAAGCAACGTCACCAGGCTGTGAGAGCCTTTTCTTCTAGGATTCTTGCTCCTTCCCAGCTTCTCTGGACCATTCCATCTGTAGGCTGCGGATACCACCTGCTGGTTCGAGTTGCCACCTGTCACTGGAGTCCTTATCTGGAAGCTACCAAGACTCATCACAGTTTTTCTTTTTTTCTTCTCCTTCTCCTTTCTCTCAAACTCCCCTTTGCTAGGATTCCTCTTCTCTGGTCGTTCAGAACAATTTCTTGCCAGGTAGCCAGTGATCTCCTTGCCTGGTGCCGACTACAGTCCCTGAAATCTGAATCTATTATGTTTCTGTTACACATTGTCATCGGTAGCAAAACTTGTGTCTGTGAGTTGAAGCTCTGCTTTGTACAGCCGCCTTCATGTTGTTCCCCTCACACCTTTCACAGCTGTCCACCGCACAGCTATTACATGACAATAGACTCTATGCTAGAGAACCACACGGTATGTTGGTGATTGGTTCCCAATAGGCTTTATGCTAGAGAACCACACGGTATGTTGATGATGGTTCCCAGTCTGCCCAGCATTAACTGCACCCAGAGTTAAAACAAAATCTCCTCCACACATGCATTAGATCAAACCTTGCTATTCTAGAGGTACTGACTGTCATAAGACCTCCTTCTTTATTCCTGGATAGAAGAACCACTTTCTTTGTCCAGTACTCACAGAATATGATGCCATTTCTTACTCTACACCAGGGCCAAGCTCAGGATCCCTTGGTCTCACCCACACAGTCTATCAAGATAGAATTCACTCCTAAGCATGCCAGTTTCCCCATCTTTCCTTGCCCAGTCCCTCCCATGAAAACCATAATAAAGCCTCTCGGCAAACTTTTTTCTTACTTTCTCTATATCCAGAACAACCCTGGGGATGATGCTGGGATATGTGGCCTTCTCTTGGGGACTCTAATAATAGACTCTTCCATACAGAGCCGGTGTGCTTTACCAGTCCTGGAAACACTTAGCACATTCTTGCTCACTATCCTTCGGATGCAATCGGTATTATTTGGTGTGAGTTACAGAGATGGAGATGTGCTGACTCAGTATTTGAACACAACATCAAAGCCAGTCTTCCAATCATGATGATAATTTATTGTTACACATAAATATATGTATCTAAGAATGTGTACTAAGGGGCTTATCATTGTCATTGGCCAAAGCTTCTCACAAAATAGTCCTGGCAAAAATTAATCATGTTCGTTGTAAACGTCAACTCGGCTTCTTCTTCCCATTTAACGTATGCATTTATCCTTACACTCTACAAGTCCATGGCAATGTCTTACAAATAAATGGATCATTGCCCCCAACCCCAGTGCTGTAGATGGACAGACTAAAGACAAGACCTTTGCAGTTCCTTCCCCGACTCACAAGTCTGTTGGTGCAGATCATGTATTCTGTCACCGAGACTAAGCTAGGAACCCTGTAACAAGTCAGTAAAGACCCAGTCCCTAGTTCTTTGGGTCCTTAGATGCCTTTACTAAAAAACTATCAAGGTAAACGGGAGCTTCCTTGGCTTGTTCCTTCCCAAGCACCAGCCTCAGTGTGCATTACTGGGGACGTTTATCCTCACTTCAGCTTGTCACCATGTCTGCTCTTTCCTGGCCTCAGTGATTTCCATCTGGAATCGTGTGCACTTTCCTCAAAGTCTCCAAGAACTCTTCCTGTCTCAAGCCACCTTTCCAGAGTTAGTGTAACAATGGCCCCGCCCTCACTCTCTGATGAGAAATCAGACCAGCAGGTGTTTGTGAAGATCTGAGTGCTCTACCACTGGGCAGCTGGGATAACCTCAGAGCTGCCTCCTGACCAGGCTCCTCCGCATCCTTGCCCACATTCAATACACAGCTGTGACTGAAAGAGTCCTAAGCACAGGATCACACTGTCAGCCCTGTATGGGGTACTACTGGTAGGAGAGCCTTTCCAGCGCTTCATCCCAGATCCAAGCACCACAGGGCCCAGAGGATTATGGGTGCACAGAAAACTCCTGTCTGTGTAACACCTTCTCTCGATATGGTTTAGACTACAGCTGATATAACTAGTGATAAGTACTCTGTCCCAGGTAAGATGTTCTAATTAAAAAATTTAAGGCTAAAACTTGTATGTGAGCTAAGCGTTTTTACGAGTGGAACTGGGGCAGTCTTCATTTTTTGCTCAGTCCCTTGGAAATGAGAGCAGGTAGGATGCCTTTGTATCCTTCAGCAACTAAAGTAATAAACACGAAGAGCTTAATGCTTATTTTTGAATTACATTTCATTTTGCCAATTGTGCGGAGCCCTGCCTAATTTAACAAAAGGCTTCGAGAAAAAAATACAGTAGAGCAGATGCACATAGCAACCATTAAATTAGGATACAGGCGTGAGAGCCACGCAGCGAGGGGAGGCTTCTGCCAGGCAGAGCAGCAGCAAGAATAATGGCAGGCCCAAGGAAAGCTGGCGCTCTTGGGTTTAGACTGAATGAGATGGATCTGAGCCCGGAGCAACAGGGAGATTGGCCTCTAAGAACACTGTATCCTGGAGTCCCCTCCTGACACTATTACGGTGTCTCTCCTGCGATCATAAAGCCATAGATGGATATTTGTGAAGATCAGTCCCACTACTTTTTAGGATCGCCACGTGATTTTCCCAGCCCTTCCTTTTCACTACAATAAGATGCACGGATAATGGGGACTATTTTACTTGTTGCCTTGCAAGAAGAAATTCAGAGTTGCCAGCCAGAGAGACAGACAAGGAAGGGATAGGCTTTAAGTGTTTCTAGGTAGGCCATCAGAGCAGGAAGCTTATTCCAGCTTTTTGCATAGGCCCAGGAAAGCTGTGCCCTTAGTACTAAAGCCTGGACGGAGAGATGCAGACTGGTGGGCATTCAAATAGGCTCAGCTTGCAGGAGTGGCAAAGGCAGTTCAGTTCTCCAGGGCGGGGTCTGACAACTTCTGCATGGCATCGAGAAAGGAAGGTGCTAATGTCAGTTTCCAATTTGCTGCCTTCCCCAGAACTCTTTCTCCAGCCCTCCCCTCTATCTCCCCACCCATATCAGGGGAGTCAGCGAGAGGGACTCTACATTTCCTCAGTTTGCTGTTGTACGAGGAGAGAGTGTAGCCCCTTGAGGCGCCAGGAACATTCCCTCAGGGTCCCGGCGCAGCGGGGGTTAAGGTGGGCGCCCGCCACCCGCACCCGCGGGGATGTTCGTGCAGTCCGTGCCGCCTGCTAGCCGGCTCGCTCCGAGTCGACTCCGGGAGAAAGTGGCGGTCAGGGATGCAGCTGCTGCCATGACAACCCTGGCGAGCACGGCCCGTGCGCGTAGGGGCTGCTCCCCGGAGGAAGGCGGCGCGGAGGCCGGGGGCGGCCGCTGAGCGTGGCGTCCGCGCGTCCCCGCGTCCCGTGCAGCGTCCCCGGAGGAGGCGGGGGCCGCAGTCCGCTCAGCTCCCCGCGCCCAGAGCCTTCACCGCGGCGCTCCGCGGGCTGGCGAGGGCCGGGCAGGCGGGAGTCGCCCACCGGGATTCGGGGAAGACAGCCTCAGAGCGGAGGATCCTGGCTAGCCGGCTGCGGGTCTCCGTGTGCAACTTTTTGTCGCCTTGGGTCCAGATGCGAGACTTGGAGCTGTTTTCTAACTCTATCCATACATGTGTGTGATCTAATAAAACATTTTCTCCTCTCCTTGAAGCAGGAGCTTTTTATGACATCTCCTTTCTGTCAGAGACACTTGCCTTCTTTGGGTTATAAACTTTTGATGCCAGACCTCTGCAGAACGCGCCCAACTGAATCTTAAAGTAGCTTCACCGAGAGAGGCAGAGAACGCACAATCTGTGACCTTCGTCCCTGCTCCTTCTTTCTTGCTCTCCCTCCCCGCGGGCTCCCTCCGCCCCAGGGAGCGTCGAGAAAGCTCTTTTTTTGGATGCAGGAGGGGGCATCTGGTTTTGCTAGGCTGGAAAGCTGAGGCTGGAGCCGAGGAAGAATTATTAGGCTCCGGAGAGCCTGGACTCAGCCTCTCCGTCTCCCGCTCCCAGCTACTGGCTTGCTCTCTCTCCCTCTCTTTGCTCTCGCCCCACAACACTTCCGGCTGTTCTGAGAGGGCAGGGGACAAGGACCTTGCTGCTGCGGGAGTTCGGGGAAGTTGTGACTGACAAGGATGGGGGTCTGTGGGTACCTCTTCCTGCCCTGGAAGTGCCTCGTGGTCGTGTCTCTCAGGCTGCTGTTCCTTGTACCCACAGGAGTGCCGGTGCGCAGCGGAGATGCCACCTTCCCCAAAGCTATGGACAACGTGACAGTCCGGCAGGGGGAGAGCGCCACCCTCAGGTAGGGAGCCTTCCTTCATCTGGGGACTGAACCCATTGCATATGGCTTCAAGGGGAGGGAGGCCAGAAAGAGTATAAAGATGGCTTCAAAGAGGGGCATTGAAGCACGTGAGAGGCCTATTGCAGGCCCAAGAAGTGGCCACCTGCGTCGTGTGCTTGCTGATACCATTTTTCTTGGATGGCTCTGTCATTTGGTCCTCTTTTGGTCTCTAGTCTTACAGGAAATGTTGAAGTCTATACTTGGAGCTCCATGTATTCATGGGGCCATGGCATAGCAATATTCGCAACTGTGTGGACACCCGGATGAGACCTGAGGGCACTGGCATGTACACAGTGTGTGGTTAACTAAATACCCTTGGATTTCTTTCTTCCAGGCAAGGAGGATGTGATGGCATAGGAGTGCCATCAGCAAAGCTAACTGTCTTTGGCAGAAGTGTGTGTTTTGTGTGTGTGTGTGTGTGTGTGTGTGTGCGTGTGTGTGTGTGTGTGCGTGTGTGTGTGTGTGTGTGGAGGGGGGGCGATGTTGGGGTGAGGTGTGTAATCTCACAATTCAAAGCTCTAGATCTCCCATGCCAGGCCACGACCTTTTATAAGTCTGCTGAAGACATAGTCACTCAAACTAAGCCCATGCTGTGCACTTGGGCTCTGATGTAAATTACGAGGCCTTTGTGTTTTTGTGTGCTGGGGCCAAGAAGAGGAAACACGGAACGTTTATACAGCGACATCATTCCTGTGTGGATAGCACAATGGGGAAGCTTTTTGTTTTAGCTTAATGAGTTACAGAGAATCACTTCCATGCTCCAGGCAGAGGGGTGGAGATGCTTGGAATATGAACCTTTGGGGACTGGGCCTGCTGCAGCAGAGACTTTAATAAAAATGCAGCCACCACTTTCCACCAGCTCAGCAGATATCATCTTTTATCCCTTTAATGAGGCAGTTCTGGTCCTAGGAGACAGATTCGGGGACGTCCCAGCTTAACTACGTCTCACAGTGTACACAGGGTGAATGCATTTGCCCTGCCTATGACTTTGATGGTTATGGTGAAAATAAAGCATCCTGACCCAGATTCTGCAGCCAGAATGCCTGGCTTCTGCAAGGAGAGACTGAGGGTGGGGTACCCTTCTTCCTGTTGCCTGTGCTTTTCCTCATGGAGCCCTCCCAACATAGGCTAAGCCTCTTTCCTAAGAAGGAACAAGAGCCTCTGAGACATTGTTGCTCCTCACGTGAACCCCCGGGTTAAACGTGGATCCTTTCGACCTTGTGTGGTTTTAGGTGAAGCTTCTTTTCAGCTAGTGCAAGGCCCCAGTGTCCTATCTTCTGGGCCTGCACAGTACTGGGAAGCAGAACAGAGATGTCCCTTACAGACAGTATGAGTCCCAAGTGCTTCTGGCCCTGTGGGCATCCCTTAGCTTATAGCAGATGAGAGTGGGTTATCCTTAATTTGTTGCATCCAGAAAGGTTCCAAGTCTGCCCTTTGAGATGTCATTTATAGGAATACACATTTTCAGGGGACTGGTAGTTCAAAGGTACCAACAATGTATGTATGTATGTATGTATGTATGTATGTATGTATGTATGTATGTACCCAGGAAATGTGGACACAGAATAGTAGTGGGACGGGGTTTGGATGCTGCTATATACCTCTTCCTCTTCTTTTGTCGGAGGCAAAGAGTTCCATCAACAGGAGGGGATGTCACCAATAAATTTACAAAATCTACTCTTGCCGCTAAAAACTAAACCAGAAACTTAGAAACTCGAGTTTTGCCTTCTGGGATGCAATAAGATAGTTCTACCAGCAGAGGGCTCACGTCCATCTACCTTTTTTCTTTCTTTCTTTGGTTTTTTTTTTTTTTTTTTTTTTTTTTTTTTTTTTTTTTTTTTTTTTTTTTTTTTTTTTTTTTTTTTTTTTTTTTTTTTTTTTTTTTTTTTTTTTTTTTTTTTTTTTATTAGCTGCTGGCCTGTTTTTGTGATCTTCAATTCTAATGTTTAACAGCTGGGCCTGGTAATGGGAAAGGGAATAAAACAGGAAAAGCTGAATAGTCGCTTTTCATGCTTTATGGAAAACGACAACTTACATGTTCAACTCCGACTGCTGCTGGTTACCTGACTGTTGCTGTAGCTGGGTTTTAAAAGTAAGCATGTTTCCAGGGCCGATTTGGCCTCTCTTCTCTCTCATGCCTTTCCCTTGGTACAGGCAAACCTATCCCCACGGCCACGTCCTGCCATCCAGGCACCTTCTTCACTTTCTCCTCATGGAGTCTTCTCTTTCATTGCTCTCTTTTTATAGGGAGCCTCCCTGACACCCTCTTCCTTTTTGTCACTCATGTTGCTTCACTTCTTCCCCTTGGCATTAATTCTTATCATTCTCTATGTTAAACCAAGTGTATTGTCTTTGTTACTATCCCAGCATTTCATAAAATAACCGAATGCCCTATGCAGTTTATGTGACTCCCCTTTTCCTTCCAATCTGCTCTGTGAGCCAGCAGCTGTGTTCCCTTAGCAGTAAAGCTTGGTCCTCAGTTGTTAGACAGAGAGGCCCCATTCCCAGTCAGTGAGAACCCACAGCCTTGGCCTTGGAAAAATCTATCATGTGTTATTTGGTAGTTTTTTTGCTTTTTAAAAATTATAATTCATTTTTTTATTTTTTGCAATCTCGAGAAATCAAGCTCATGGCCTTATGCGTGCTAGGAAAAAGTTTTGATCCTGAGCTCTCTCCACAGCCTTAGAGCTCTATGTAAAGTAACTTTTAAGTCTCCTCAAAAGAGTTCATGGATTTATTACTTAGGACTTAGTGTTCAGTATGTATCAAGGAATTAAATGATATCCACACCTATCAGCATTAGAAAACCCTCTCCAAGGTGGTTGCCCCAGTTCACATGACCTCCAGTCTGTTCCTAATTCTTGAGCAATGTTAGACAAGGAGCAGAGACTAGTAGGTAAAGCAGAGAAATCCAGAAGCCTAGGTAGACCCTCAGATTTTTCCTGTGACAAGTTCCCCAGCTCACAAGATGGTTGCTTCCTGTGAGGGATCAGTTGTGTTGTGACAGGCCTTTGGTTGTATGGAGAGACATTCAGAAATGATGTGTCAGAGAAGACACTTAAGTTTTCAGCATAGATGGAAGCTCATTTGATACAAGTGAGACAGTATCATTGTCCCTGTAACTACTTCATGGGGCTGCTTGAAAAGTAAAAATAATTATTTTAATATTGAGTTATTTTGCCTTTTTGGAAGAGAGATGATATGGAAAATGAAGGTGCTATTCTCTATGGTTGAATCATAGCTTCTATGAATCTGATTTGAATTCATTATTACAAATGGGCCCTCTTGGCCGGAATCATTTCATTACAATTATGTGGTGTTGGGTTAAAAATGTTCGGTGCCTTTTCGTTAGATTAGATATGACAAGTGTCTAGGAGTCCTCTGTCTGAATCGATGCCCATCTTCAGATGGGTGCCCAGCATCTGGGCATGGGCGGTTGGCATCAATTAAGCCATCTCAGCAGCAGCCATCAGCCAGCCATACCTTCTTCATGGACCACAGGCACCTCTTGATTTTCTTTAGTTCCTCTGTGCGTTTTTGTTGCCCTGTTCACATGGATATTTTGAGGGATGCCATAGATAAGTGGTTGTGCTTGTGGTAATCTGTACCAAGCAGCTGGAAAAGCCAACACAGTGGTATGTTTTGTTGTTGTTGTTGTTTGCTTGCTTGCTTACTTTTTCATAGTAGAGTAATGCATTGCTGAGCCAGGCTTGCTGATCTGGTATTTATGCTTAGTGGCTCTTTTCTTAACTACCCTGCACTTTCATTCGGAGTTCTGAGGTAATCCATTCAGAACAAGCACATGAGGCTTAAGTACTGCCAGAGAATAATCTGGGCCGAGGAATTTCGCCAAAGCATCTGGGACAGTGGAACTCCCAAGGACAGTGTGCTTGCTGGTGTGGAGCAGGGTGCTTTCTGTGTTGTGCAACCAATGTCAGCAGCTTGCTCTTTTGCATGCATTAGGACAGCTATTTGGTCTTTTGAACCATGCATGAACCCCGTGTGAGTTAATGTTGAAGGTTCCAAAGTTAGGGGTTATGTCAGTGTGAGGTAGTTCTCTTGATTTGGGAAGCTGAGGACATGAAAAGTCCTTCCAGCAGGGATGGTCCCAGAAGGAAGCTCCTTCATGGTGGTGAAAACCTGAACTTCTTTTAGGAAGGCACTTGAGAAACTATTGAAAATGTGACCTTGGAGGTTAGGATGAAGCATGGATGAGCCCCTACTTTCACCCCAGGATGAACTAGAAAATAAAATTCAACTGTTAGTCTCAGAGACTAAGGGAAGCAGCATCTTTGGAGGTGGCCATGAATACAGGCTTTTAAAACTCTCTTCCAGTATTTCTCAAGTAAGCCCGAACTGAGAATCACTATCCCACAGGCTTTTTGTCTTATAATATCTGAGCAAGGCTATGTTCCAGGGTCCTTACATGGAAACATCTCTCCCATGGCACGTATGTGTCTCATAGCTATATCAGTGCTCCAGAAAGAGAAGAGTTCAGGTCATCTGTACCTCTGATGGACTCTTACACTGTCTCACACTGACTCTTGGATTGCACTCGGTTCAGTATGTTCGTGTACATACAGGAACAATTTCTGCCCTGTCTACAACATTAGATGAGAAAAAGTGTGCCGAGCTGCTCTGTTAACATTAAAGTCATGTGTATCCTTTGTGCACATCCTCCCATATGCTCAAACCATCTCCAAGTTACATATCTAATAAGAAGTATATGCTGTGTAAATCGTTGTTGTTACCTTATGTTGCATAGCAAATAATGACAAGAACATGTTTAGTATAGACACACTTGATTTATTTTTAGTCTATTTTATCTATGGCTGTTGAATCTATGTATGTCGAACCCACAGATATGGAAGGCTGCTTACACGTACTAGTTGCTACTGAGACTAAATGGAACTCCTTGGTAACAATTGATGGTATTCTCAGCTTAATCCTGCTTTATCTTG